TGCTTTAGAACAAGCAGGATAGCTGGCCACCAGGACCAGGACCAGGACCAGGGCTGGACACCCCTGAGCTCTGCACGAGGTTCCTGTTCTCTGCAGTAATTAGTAGGGCTGCAACGATACAGAAAATTCACGGTTCAGTTCAGTACTTTAGTCTCACGGTTCGATATTTTTTTCAATACAAAAAAGACAAATGTCCATGCCCCTTTTAACTTGTAATTAATTTAAATTAATTATGAACATTTGTTTAACCTCAAAAGTACAGTTTTTAAATTAAATGTTGCTGAAACAGCAAGTTTCTCAGTGGAGCTGCGCTCAGAAACGCAGCCTAGGTGGAGTAGTCGAACACAGATCTACTAAAATAGGCCTAGTGATGCCAGTGGTGTTTAAACTTGCTAGCATGCTGCTATTAAGGTTGCAGGGAAAACGTGGACTGGATTTCATGTGGTGTGGGAGTACTCCATACGTATGAACAAGTGGAATGGATTGGATAACGATGCACCAAAGAGGATCTCTACCTTACACTATAAATTAAAGGGAAACTGACAGATTTATGATCATATATTTTAGTTAATAATGAAATATTAAATGGTTATTTATTCTGACCACATCATATAGAATTTTTGTAAAAAAAATTTTTACACCAAAATAATTTAGGGGGGCTTTAAAATAGGCCTAGCGACACCACTGCTGGTGCCCATATCCAGCAGTAACAGTGAGGGGCAGGGTACGCCCTGGACAGGTCACAAGTCCATCACAGGGCCACATAAAGAGACAAACAACTATTTACTCTCTCACTCACATCTAGAGACAATTTAGTTATCTAACACTCATGTTTTTGGTTTGTGGGATAAAAAATGAGTACCTGGAGAAAACCCATGCATGAACAGATAGAACATGCAAACTCTACCCTGAAAGGTCCCAGGCCAGATTCGATCCAATGAGAGGCATCAGCTCGATTAACGAAGACACCTTGCCGCCCGATTTGCAATGATGTGGTCCAACTTTCACATTTATGATGCATTACTTTCACACGCTGCTGGACAACATTCTTGGGTCTGTTGAGTGACAATCAAGTGTCTAAAATGTGCAGTTTTATTGCAAGGATGCTCTGCAACAATGGTGCAACAGCAACATGTCCTTTCTGCAAATTTTGGCCAGACTTTCACCAAGTGTTCAGTATTCACTGAACACATATAAAAATGTCAACTTAGTGTGATTCCAAGTGAACTTTGGCAAATTTTCTTGCTATGTTGTGTCTCCAACTCATCCGCAATACTTGCAGCCCAGTGAGAACCTCATTTTAGCATTCTCTGTTTTAATCAGCTCCTATCCTTTAAAGCAGAGGTTCTCAAACTGGGGTCCCAGGACCCCCAGGGGTCCGCGGGAGGTATCTTGGGGGTCCTCAAAATATTTCACGAAATTGTTAATTTAGTTTTAATTTTTTAAAATGCGTGGAGAACAATGAACAAATAAAACAAACATAATAACCTTAATATACACTGCTCAAAAAAATAAAGGGAACACTACTGTTCAAAAAAATAAAGGGAACACTTAAACAACGCACGCTAAGTCCAAGTAAATCAAACTTTTGTGAAGCACATTCAACTCTGTACAGAACAAAGTACTCAATGCGAATATTTCATTGATTAAGATCGGGAGTTAGCGTGCGTTGTTTAAGTGTTCCCTTTATTTTTTTGAACAGTAGTGTTCCCTTTATTTTTTGAGCAGTGTAC